CTGTCCAAAAGAAGCATGGAAAGTGACATGTGTGTTATGGGAGGTCAGGGCGGGATGACAGGGGATCAATGGTGATAGATCAGACGGTGTTGTGTTGGTTCCTCCGCTCTGCTCCTTTCTTCTCTTTTTTCCTGCTCTCTCCACTCCTCACTTACCTGCTTCTTTTCTGCTTTTCTTCTCTTTTCTCCTTCTCTGTCCTCCTCTCTCCTTCCCTCTGCTCTTCTGTCCTCCTCTGTGCTCTCCTCCCTAATTTGTGTATCCTCCGTTCATTTGTTTTTCAAAATAAAACCAAGTATTTTCTTCATTATTTGTCTCCAAACCCAAAATGAAAAACAGATTATTTATTTCTTCAGTTTTTGATTTTGTGTATAAATGAATAATTAAAAAAAACAGAAAAACGGCCATTTGCTGTTTTGGTGAATTAAACTGTAATGCTGGACTTTTGCGCCGCTTACAGACTGAACCAGGACTAAACTAGGACTAAAAATGGTTTAAACTAGGACTAAACCAGAGCTAAACTAGGACTAAACCAGGTCTAAACCAGGACTAAACCAGGACTAAACCAGGACTAAATCAGGTCTAAAACAGGACTAAAACAGGACTAAAACAGGACTAAAACAGGTCTAAAACAGGATTAAACCAGGACAAAACCAGGACTAAACTAGGACTAAACCAAGACTAAACCAGGACTAAACCATGTCTAAACCAGGACTAAACCAGGACTAAACCAGGACAATAATGAAGAAAATAGTTCTGTTTTTTTTTTAGATTTGTTTTCTTATTTTTGGTTTTATTTTGAAAAACGAATGAATGCATGACACATTTATTGTCCCTGCTCTTCTATGCTTCTGCCTGTCCTCCTGTTTCTTTTCTGCTCCTCTACTGTGGCCTCCTCTCTCCTCTCCCCCTCTGTCTCCTCGTTCCCCTCTCTGTCTTCTGTGGGTGCTCAGCGTGGAGACGGGTGAGCGCGGCGGAGGGAGCGTGAGGTGACGTGATGCGTTGTGTCTCGTGTCGGGTGGCATCAGCACATGAGATAAAAGGAACACAATCGATATGAGGCTCAAACCCGTGTCTCCAGACCAGCCCCTGTACAAGCTCTGGCACGCTCGCACTTTTCTCTCCACTCCTTATGTAACACGTAACATGTCGTATGTTTTTTTTCAACAAATCTCCCCAACAGCGTCTGAAAGCACTAATACAAAACTACTAACTTCTGAAGTACTGAAAATATACGTCCAAATAAAGAAAGTACTGCCATTTAATGTTGAAAATCACATTCTATTGTCTATAAAAAGAGGGTTTTTATTATCAGTGTGCAGTGTTGGGAAGGTGACTTTTAAAATGTATTCCCCTACAGATTACAGATTACATATCCCAAAATGTACTTTGTAACGGACTCCATTAAATTACTTAAAGTGAGTAATGTAATCTGAATACTTTGGATTACTTGATATTGTCATGCTTTTTAAAACAACATGAATGTAATGACCACATCCTGAAAGTTCTTGTTTGTTCTCTTCAAATTGTCTGTCGAGCCCAAGTCCATGAACATGTATTTGTTTTCTGTAGAGAAGCAAAGACGAGGACATCTTAACATGAGAAGTTTTGTCTGTTAAAAGACAATAAAAGCCCAGTCTTTCCTTAACCGTATTAAAATATGATTGATAGAGAAATTTATATGAGGTCACTGCTGTCTTAAATTATGTCCATCCTGCTGTTATTGTCATATTGTTTAGTCCTGGTTTAGTCCTGCTTTTAGACCTGGTTTAGTCCTGCTTTTAGACCTGGATTAGTCCTGGTTTAGTCCTAGTATAGTCCTGCTTTAGTCCTGCTTTTAGACCTGGTTTAGTCCTGGTTTTAGTCCTGGTTTAGCCTAAAATGTGAAAACAGGAAAATACCACCATGTAATCCATTTATTTCAACAAAGTAACTGTAATTCAATTACCACTCACTGAAACAGTAACTGTAACTGAATACAGTTACTCATAATTTGTACTCTGATTACGTAACTCTGGTACATGTAATCTGTTACTCCCCAACACTGTTAGTGTGGTATCAGAATCGATATCGAGTATCGAGTCTATTCCTTAATATGGAAGACTTTGAACTTCTATTGCACTGCTGTTATAGACGACAAGAGATGCTATTGAATGTTGTTTGTGTCTCAAAAATGAATAGATTTATTTTGGTAATGTGACGTATTTCGTGGTCGTGTCTTGGAGAGATGGCACTGCTCTGCTTCTAATATTCTACATTATGTATTAAGGAGACATATTAGGTCAAACTGGTTGAGCTTTTATAGCAGTGTTTTCTCATCACTGTCATACTCTTGTGTTTGGATTATTCATGCATGTTTGAGTAACCCTGAATTATCCTGCTTTGAAAGTTTCAGTGCTCAGATAATTTAGATTTCACCTACCCCTCTTATCCACCCATTCTAGTGATTTCCATATTTTTTGAACTATAAAGCTACATTCAGACTGCAGGACTTAACTCTCAATTCCGATTTTTTTGTGAAATCCGATGTTTTTGCGAGGTCGTTCACATTTCCAATTAAATGTGACTTGTATGTGATCTTCAGTGTGAACGTTAAACGGCCCGAAAGTGTCCCACATGTGCACTGGAGACACGATGACGTCAACCGCAGCGAGCGTGCTCTGTGTTTATGGAAGTTGTCCAAACATGGACATAGCATTGAGCACCTGGAGATTTTAAAGTTCCTCTCGTACCGGAGCCAGAACATGAACAACTTACTTGTTTTAAGGAGGAGATTGAGAAGGAGAAGGATGAGGTTTTTGGTCGTGGTGTTTTGTGGGACAGTCTGTTGAAAGGAACGTGTGGATGTGGAGACGGAGCCAAGAGTGGTGAGTGGTGATGTGCTTCACTTCAGTGACATGGAGTTCATTAACAATTTTCGCCTACTTGTTGATAACGTGTAGGTGGATGAATGCACTTTGGCCATTCAGACTGAAGTCGCATGTCAAAAGATCAGATATGTATCGGTTTCAGGACCACATATCCAAAAAATCAGATCTGTGTCGTTCAAACTGTCATTAAAAGATCGGACACAGGTCACATAGAAGCCAAAAATTTTTATTTGGGTCACTTCAGGCTGCAGTCTGAACGCAGCCTAAGTCGCTCTGGAGTGTAAGTCGCACCAGCCAAAAAATGCGTCGCTTCCTCTACTGTGTCGCTGTCGTCACTCAGCATCAGTTCCAGTTAGAATTATTGGGGTCTTTCTGAATCCCAACAGGATGGTTTCAGTGTCACTGAAGTTCAGACTTTGTCCATCCATCCAGTGACTTTAGAAAAGTTTCATGGTGCATCCTCCCAGTGTCACAGGTTTCTCACTCACTCCAAACTTTTTTCTGCTGCTCGATTATCATTTTCAGCTGACTATTTCACGACTTGCAGTTTGTAATCTGCAAAATCAGATTTTCTTTTTGGGAGCGTTTGTAATCCGTGTATCATTCGTTCATTCTTTTTTCAATATAAAACCAAAACTAAGAAAACGAAATAACAACAGTTTTCTTCATTATTTGTCTCCAAAACCAAAATGAAAAAACGGATAACGATTCCTTTTTTCAGTTTTCGATTTCATGTTTAAATGAAGAATGGAAAAAACGAATAACGGCCGTTTCCTGTTTACGTGACTTCCGTGACTGCGATACCGAACTTTGCACCGCGTATGAACTGAACCAGGACTGATCCAGACTGGGACCAGACCGGAGGCTCAGAGCTCACGGCAGGGCTGGAGCTCGAAGCTGAGGCTCGGACTCTGCAGAGGCTCGGAGTCAAAGCTTGGAGTCCGCCCTGGTTCCGCTCTGGTCCCGGTGTGGTGCCGGACCTGGATCAGTCCTGGTTCAGTCCGTACGCGGTGCAAAGTCTGGCATCGCAGTCACGGAAGTCACGTAAATGGGAAACGGCCGTTATCCGTTTTTTCCATTCTTCATTTAAACACAAAATCGAAAACTGAAAAAGCGAATCATTGTCCATTTTTTCATTTTGGTTTTGGAGACAAATAATGAAAAAAACAGTTGTTTTTTCGTTTTCTTATTTTTGGTTTTATATTGAAAAATGAATGAACGAATGATACACGGATTGTTTGTGTTCAGTTTCTCAGTCTTTGTCTTTATAAGTTTGTTTAAATGTTAAATTGTTCAGTGGTGCAGAAGTAATGGTGCAATCGACTGACATGATACAGACAGAACAGAGGCTCTTTCTGCAGGAGACATGCGCAGTAGAGTGAAGTGACAGTGGTACAGGAGGAACAGGAGCAGCACATACTCACACACAAGACTAGAGCGCCCTCTAGAGGCTGTCAGTGTGAACATTTTAATACATCAAATCACACCAGAGTATAAGTCACAGGAAACACCCAAACCATGAAAAAAAAAGTGCCACTTACAGTCGCGAACATACAGTACTACAAAAAATCTACTTCCAGGTCATACACAGAGGGTTAAACATGTTTCATCACCCAAAAAAACAAAAAAACAGGAAATTCCACCATTTGCTCTGGTGAAATGTCCTGTGAGCCTACGAGCTTTACACTCTTGAACAGCAATGAGCAAAATCAATAATGTACAAGATCTGAAACAAAAATCCATAAAAATATAAATCTTATAAATCTTATAAACTGAACATGGAAAAAAAAAAAATCACGCCTTTTACCATTAGTAAACCACCACTGATTGTGAAAGCTGTTTGTTTCTATTGAGACAGATAAGTAGCAATTTACACCAAGCAGTGCTCCTCTATGTTTTTAAAGTCTGTACTTCTCCAGACAAAACAGAATGTCAAGATAGATTTTTATTTTATAATTTTTTTTATGTTTTTTTGTTTACAAATCATTGTTGTCATAAATTGAATCTGGAGTGTTCAAACTGTTTTTATTGTAAAATGTGATGAATGTTAAAGTGTCTGTTCCATTACACTGTATTTCCTTTGATCTGTGGCTGTCCCTGGTCTAACACCTAACACCTGGTTGTGTGTTGTAGGAGAAAAGCATTGGCCGCTGCGCTCCCAGAGTCACCATGGTAGGACCGGCTGCTTTCTGTTCACTCCAAGTTGCCTCCAAGCACTTTTTCCCTCCACCGGCCGATAAAACTGCTCTGATCACAATGTGACGTTATGTTGATCCAGTGGTGACGCAGTGACTGGAGGCAGCTTGGACCCAGCTCAGTCAAGTGTTTCCTGTTTACCCCTGTACGACCTCTGTACGACCTCTGTATGACCTCTAACCTGTCTCCTCTCCCTGACATGTAGCGTCTCTGTGGTGATGGTGCACATTGTGCTGTGGTGACAGGGGTGTTACTGTACACAACTTCCACTGAACCATTTTAGTCAAATTCTTTACCAACGAGGTTCAAAAGACACATGAGCTACATCTGTGCTGATTTGTATTTATGTATTTATTTGTTTTTTTTGTTTAAAGTACTATATTACACAAACTGGATTCTTGTGAGCCATGTTAGAATGTTGTTACCTCCTCAGAAACTCAAAAACACATTGGGAGTTGTGTTTTGTTATTATTAGTGGTAGTTTTCAAGTGAACTTTTTTTTTTCCTTCTGGGGCTGAAAATTATCCAGATAATTCCAGAGAAATATTTGGATGATTTTTTTTTTTTTTCAGATGTATGGAGTTTGAAAAGACAGTGGAGCACTTCCGTATGATCACATGACATCACAAGATGAAGCTGAGTGTCAAACATGTGTGAATGAAACAAAACACAGCTCCAGATAAGTTTTTGAGGAGGTAACAACTTTCTAACAAAGATCAAAAGTAGAAGTGTAATATGGGCCCTTAAATGGACTGGACCAGTGTGAGTGTCCTTGAGTGCAGCTGAACACACAGCTCCACTACATTAGGTTAATGGGAAGTTCAAATGAAGAGACAAATGGAACGTGGATGATACAAGACTGTGACCGAGTGCTGCTCATTTACTGTTAATGTTAATATTGTTCACAGCACGGACAATAATAGAAACCAATATTCTTTTTTCTATGTAAAATTCAACTGAATGAAAATTTTTTATTTAAATTATGAAAAAAATATCAAACTGTCAGATCCGTGTGCTGTTAGTTTTGTTTAAATTTTAATTAAGAACAAACAAAGAAACAAAACAAAAACAAAAAACAGTAAAATGGGATTTTTCCATTTGGTGTCAAACTAAAAAACAGATTTCAACCTCTGTTTCCAATATTTAATTTAAAGTTTATTTCAAATAACAACAATCAAAAAACAGTCTCGGTACCTATTTAAATTTTGATATTTTTATTCTCTCTGGAAGTCCTGCTGAATTCAGTGTCAACCATAGATCTATAATAAAAACTATTTTTATTATAGTTTTATGGAGTCAACTGAACAAAGGAGAGTTTATCGCTGCTTCTCGTTTCTCATTGTGGAGTTCAACAATGACTTTCTAAAACGCAAAGGTAAATGCGTCGCTATAAAAGAGGACATGTTTGTCCACAAATTGCACCAATTTTTCAGGTGAGTTCTTTTAGCAGCAGAGCTTCTGGGGCAAATAAACCAGAGAGAATAAAAGATCTAATTTAAAATAGTCACAATGATGTCTTTTAATTGGTGTTATTTGAAATAAACATTAAAATAAATATTGGAAATAGAGTTCAAAATCTGATTTATTTATTTATTATTATAATTTTTTACACTAAACAAAATAATGAATTAACAAATTGTTTTCCCATTTCATTGTTTTTCATTCTTTACTGAAATTCAAAAGAAAAATACCCTGTCAACTGACTTCCTCAATGGGAGAAGCTTAGTCCATTTAGAATTCCTAAGATTCATAAAGATTATCAGTCACAGAACTAGTTTAAAAATCCATAAACTGTAAACAAATAGTGTTTTTCCCTTTTATAACATATAACTTCCTCTTTACGTAACCCATGAGATCAGTGGGGTACCTCAGGGCTCTGTATTAGGACCTGTGTTCTTTATTCTTTGCGCACATGTTTCAGTGGACATGTGGACAGTCACACCCCTGTCTAGCACTGTTTTAACTCACTGCTGTGGTGCGGGCTCTGGACAGGCATTCTACAGGCTGTGTCTCTGAACATTTAAAGTTAAACCTAACCCGGACGTGCATTTCCATATCTGACACGTCTTAATGAATGCGTGTTACCAGCAGCCCTCATCACGATCTTCACACTGTGCTGGTTCCATCTCGCTTCTGTCCTAACCCTTTTCCAAACACGTACTTCAGAATTCTGTGTGTGAGCACTCTGCTTTCCTGACTGTATGCGTCTCCGTGCGTGGAGGGTGGAGTTCTCTAGGCATGGATAAAGGCAGTTTTGATGATGTTACTTCTTTTATCATAAGAAGACATCAGAAAATCTGTGCTTATCCTTGCTTACGATTCCCTCCTCTTCCTCCTCCTCCTCCTCCTCTACCCACCTCGTCTTCCTCGGAAACAAAGGGACCCTGTCGGTACGTCTAAACATGTCCGTCACTTCGGAGGAGAAATGACTTTTTTATTGGAGTCCAGATGGATAGTGTGACATTGTTTCATTCACCAGCAAAGGGCTATTACCTCTCACCTCTGTATTATGAAGCAGTCCCTCACTAAAATGGCAGCGTTATTGGCGCTTAACACGGGGGTCAGAGCAGCGGCGCATGTGGACTCCATCTACACCTCCACACGAGCCATCACGGTACATTTGTCACCATGGAGACGTGTGGAGTGACCGCCTGGCCTCTGGTGTCCGGGGGGTGATTCTCAGATATAAGATAAAGGGCTTAGCAGCGAAGAGGACAGCTCCAGGAGAGGACTGAGCCAGAGGAGGGTGGGAGAGCGATGAGGTGGGCACAGAGTCATGTCCGGGCAGGGCAGCTGTCGTCCGGGCACAGTCTGTTTATTAGAAAGGTGAGGCATAGTGTGTGACACCTTTGGATAGAGATTTGACACTTTTTATGAAAGGTTCAGGTAACACTTTATAATGCAGTGCAGTACAGTAATTACCTAAACCTTTGTAAAGATTTGTTAATTGTTACTAACATATCAGTTTGGCACAAGTTCCATCATTAACTAAACATTAGTTGTTTGCATTATTATCTATTACTGATGTAACAATAACTAGAATATCATGATATCGTATCCTCAAAAGTCTCACTATAATATTGTGGGCTGTTACAATATATTGAATTACAAGTTCCTTTGGTTAAATGCATGGTTTTGTAGTAGCAACAGCTTATGAACATCGGAAACTACATTTCCCATGATGCATTTCAGTGCAAAAAACATGAAGATATATATATTTTTTACTTGAATTCTTGGGATTATGACAGAAATAATTTGCACTGAAGTCAAGGTATTTTAAAATCAAAAAATTCTATTAGCCTATCCAAAATATTGCAATAAATATGGTACCATGAGATGTATATTGTGATAATATTATACTGAGAGATTTGGATATTGTTACATCCCTATTAACTACTGCTGTTAACTAATATTGTATTAATATCTGTTAATAGTTAAGTAAATATATTTTTGTAATAAACGTGAGAGACTCACTGTAAAATATTTGCTATCGTTAATAAATGTTATAAGAAATATTAGTAAATAGTTAATAATTACTGTTTCAAATTTATTATAAGTTGCCCCACACTTATATATTACTAAGTATATATACAGTTATATATTAGTAATATTTTAATTAAGCTTAACCAACTTTATCATAAGGATTCTATGAGGAGTGGTTCATATTGAGTTTAATAACAGTTCAATAATAATGTGTCATCGTCAAAGTTCTCTCAATAATATCGTGGGCTGTCAAAATAAATCGAATCACAAGATCATTTGCTTAAATGCATTGGCAGCTCAGAAACACAGGGAACTACATCTCCCATGATTCATTTCAGTGCATAAAACATGAAGAGATATGTTTTTTACTTTAGTTCTTGGGATTATGACAGTGTTGATTTGCAGAGTCTTTTATTTAGGTATTTTAAAAGCAATAAGTATCCTGTCTAAAATAGCTTCTCCAAAATATCACAATAAATATTGTACCGTGAGATACATATCATGATAATATCACACTGTGATCTTGGATATCATTACATCCTTAGTCATTAACTTTTATATTGACATATAGTTTGTAAATAAAAATTGAAAGGATGTAAAAATAATTATTAATTAGTGCCATAAAGACATTTAGTTAACTATTAACATATATGAATGCAATAATAGTTAATACATTGCTTTCTATTTGTTAAAATATTAATACATAGTTTTCATGCAAACAGAAAATTAAGGAGCAAGTTAATGATGAAAAAAGTGTTAACTTGTGCCAAATAGATATTTTAGTAACAATAAATAATTATTATCAAAGAGAGTCTGCCACCTGCTTCCCCCTCATGCACATGTTACTGCAAGATTTGAAATGATTTATCACATTCTAAGACCAGTACAGTTTAACACAGATCAGACACAGTAATATTAATATTGTTAACGTGCAGATTTGTGATGGAATATCCTGTAGTGAGTCTTTGGTCTAGTCCAGAGGTTCTCAAACTCTTCACACCAAGTACCACCAAAGAAAACAATGCACAGTCCAAGTATCACCAGATCTAAACCAGGCCTAAATCAGGACCAGTCCAGTTCTGAAACTCCCCAAAGAATGACCAAAAAGTGAATATGTTTTATTCTAAATTAAAACACTCGCACTTTGCTATTTTGGATCTGTATTAGACTGTAACTTTCTCACCACAAACACACCTGGAGTTGTGTTTTGTTTCATTCACACATGTTTAACAAACCTGTGCATTTAGACTGTGTTCTTATCTCAAATGGAAAACACTCAGTTCCACCTTGTGATGTCATGTGCTAATACAGGAAGTGCACCACTGTGTTTTTAAACTCCACACACCATTAGTAGAATCAATTGGGTAATTTCAGATGTGGAACTGCTCATCTCTGCTGAACTAAAGATAAAAGGTAGCTTCATGACATCACAAGGTGGAACAGAGCTTTTGGAGCTTTGTAGATGTAGACAGACTAATAATAAAGAGTTACTC